AAAAAAAAGAGGTTCAATCAATTTCAACTTCTCGTGGGGAAAAAAAAGATCTCGCAAAGTTGGAATTGATTGAGTGAACTTTTTAGTCCTACCCACTCTGCTGTAACACCAAAGCTGCACCCACCCAATGGGTCACGCCCACCCAATTGACAACGCCCACCCAATGGACCACACCCACCCAATGGACCACCCCCACCCAATGGGCCACGCCTATGCGGCACCCGGCAATACATAAGTGGGTTTTGGGTTTTAGTTTGGGCACTCGGTCTCTAAAAGGTTCACCATCACTGTCTTAGACCATTTGACTACAAATTCATAGTGCTCTTTCAGCATGCTGGAATTGACTGACTGGGCAATTAGTCTCCTGACTCCTTAAACATTAAACTACAACTTCAATGCTGAAACATAACTGCCACATTTCAAAATATAATGATCTATCTATACTTATTTCCTGCTGGTAGGAAGACAAAATAGAGACAGAGACCGGGGGGTGGGGTGGGGAGAGAGAAAGAAACAAACCGGAATGTATCTCCAACTCGATCGTGGAAATAAATAAAGTTGTCACGATCAATCATTAAAAGATCTCCGCTGTTGAAATACACGTCACCATTCTGGAAAACATTTCTTAGCTTCTTCTTTTCCGTCAGGCTCTTTGATCCCGCGTAACCACTAAATGGAGCCAACTGGGTGATTTTGCAAATCAACAGTCCCACTTCACCTAGAGGGAACACAAAACTCAAACGAAATGACTGCTGAATAGTAATATTGACTACCTCAGGGGTAGGCAACCTTGGCTCTTTTATGACTCGTGGACTTCAACTCCCAGAATTCCTGAGCCAGCCACGCTGAGGGGAAAAGGAGAGGTTTCCAAGCTGAGCCATGCTGGCTCAGGAATTCTGGGAGTTGAAGTCCACGAGTCATAAAAGAGCCAAGGTCGCCTACCCCTGGACTACCTGAATGCATTGCAGAGTTCCCTGCAAAAGTTCTGTAACTAAGAAAAACATAGCAACAACAATGAATATCTCAAATCTAAGTTGATTTTAATATCAAAGTGAATTTTTTCTTCCCGCCTCCCCCAAAGTTAACATACTCCACGTGGCATGTGCAATACTCCAAAACTAATTTAATATTTTCAATTGAAGTTCTGAGATTTTGAGCAGGTTCATATAAATCCTAGGAGAGCTTTAAAGAACTTCTACACATGCTGGATATACATATAAGCAACATCCACTTGGAAGTAAAAGTCTATTCAGGAATAGACCATCATTTCCAAGAAATCCAGTTTTTACTTTTAGGTCTGATCTGCACTAACCTAAACCAGGAGACGTTCAGGAACTCCAAATATTTAAGCATCTCCTTGAGCCTAGCTAAATGTTGAAGTGCAGCATGAAGTTGCTTCTTGAGGGCAAGACTTGTTTGTACAACATTATGGAAACCTTGACCTGTGGTGGCACTAGTGATGCTTTGCTTTGAAATGTTAGATCAGGGGTCTCCAAACTTGGCAAATTTAAGACTTGTGGACTTCAACTCCCAGAATTCCTCAACCAACTGGCTGGGGAATTCTGGGAGCTGAAGTTCACAACTCTTAAAGTTGCCACGTTTGGAGACCCCTATCTTAGATCTAAGTTCTTCCCTGCTGTAAGTATTTTGGGCTGGTTTTAACATGGGTAGTTTTGCTTCAAACTCCAGAAGATGACAGGACAGTTTCTGGACTATTATATAAGACTATAAATGATGGTACCAATCTATTGTTGAGCCCTGAATGACAGGACTCCTCCTGTTGCGTATTCCTAAAGGTGTGATTGACTTTTAGAGTCTGGATATTTAAGCAATAGTCTCTATTTTACCTGTTTTTTTTTCAAATGGACTATACAGCACCGTTTCTTCCTAAAAGCATTATTTCTTCTTCAAAGCATATTATTTGGTGCTGAATTTCAATGGCAATTAAAGATATCAAATCATAGTTACCTTTAGGAACTTTTATACAGTAGCCATTTTCATCTCTGACCGGTTCATCTTTCTCCACATCATACTTAATGAGGTTGTATTGTATCATTTTCTACGGAAAGCATAAGACTGTATATTATGTGTTTAAAACAGAGGTTCAAATGCTTTTTCTTTGAACATTTGCGGTCCCTCCAGAGAGGTTTAAGTGCGGCGATCTTAGAACATTTTAAAAATGGCTCCATACGGGAAGGTGGTGCAGAGAGTGGTGAGGACGGCAGAAAAGATTATTGGCAGTTCCCTCCCTTCCATCCAGGACATAGCACAGAAGCGTTGCTTGAGCAGGGTCCGTAAGATTGTCTGGAACACCACACATCGTACTCACGACCTGTTTTCCTTATTACCTTTGGCTTCATGGTAGCCGAAGCAGAACATCCAGATTCAGTCATGATTTTGTTCCATACAGTATTAATTTTGTGAACTCTAAAGCTTCCTCCTTCCGCTATGTATTCAAGATGGACAGATGCCACAGATTTCCTCTCACAGACCAGTACGCTCCCACAGAGCGGGCCTCCTCAGGGTGCTGTCGGCCAAGCAGTGTCGGCTGGCGACCCCCAGGGGGAGGGCCTTCTCTGTGGGTGCCCCCACCCTCTGGAACGAACTACCCCCCGAGATCCGGACGATTCCGGATCTCCTATCTTTTCGCCGCACCCTCAAGACATGGCTTTTTCAGCAAGCGGGTCTGGCCTAGGGAGAATTTTAAATAGGGACAATTTTTAATTAGAATTTTAATAGTAACACAGCGGTTAAATATTTGTTTTTAATTGGTTTTTATTGGGGATAGTGTTTTGTATTGTTTTAATATGCTGTAAGCCGCCCTGAGTCCTGCTGGGAGAAGGGCGGCATATAAGTTTAATAAATAAATAAATAAATAAATAAATAAATAATGTTACTCATATGTAAGGGTGTAGGTCTATGCATATGTTGCATATAGTATGTTTAAATGTGTGTTATGTATGTGTACACTTTGAGAGCAAGCAACTAAATTTCATTTTTAACGTGTGCCATTGTACCCACAGTAAAAAATGACAATAAAGGTTACCTATCTATTGTCATTTAAGAAATAGAGCCCATAAATACAGCATCAATAAACGTGATTCCCTTTTCATCTTATATAGACAGAATATATACTGATGTTGAGATATCTTCCTTGCCTCTTTAAGGATCATATCTCCAATTCTGCTTGCTGTAGGCATAAGGAACTGAAAAATGTATTGCATTGACATGTTGATTGAGATACATTCTGGGTTTAGTTTGATATTCAAATGGAATCAATGAATAAACCAAAATTTGTTTTTTTAAGGAGACATAAAAATTAGTTTAAGACCAATTTGTTATTGTTTTATTGCAGGGATGCATGATTTGGTAGGATTATCCTTGGTTTATTATTGTCCAATCCTCTAGTCAATCCAGAGATGTTGGCCATGAACTTCTAAAATGAACTAGAAAATGTCCAACAGGTTATGAATACTTGGCTTTAGCTCGTTAATCCACAACAGCTAAGGAACTGGGTTTGGCTTTCCATAATCACGGAGAAATATGATACAGAGTTAACCCAAGCTTGTGAAGGAAGGTATAAACAACTTAGGTATTTATTTTATTTGTCAACTGATTGCTTGGAATTTTGCATATATGTAACATTGGGAATGAAAAACTAGTTTTAACCTCAGTTTTCATCTGGGGCTGGGGTCCTCAAGCAATATATACCATTTCTTCTACTTCTCCAATTTAGCAAGGAAATTGAACTTCATCTCTCTAGGTTGTCCTACCCTTCCTTGACACATAAGATTGCTAAATTATGGAACTGAGGGAAACGTATAGGTCCTTCAACCCAATTCTTTGTTCCAAATCAAAGTGCCCCCAAATGTATAGCTTTTATTTGAATTATTTTATAAAGAGGAGTTCATTCGCTCCTTCGTTTTTTTTTATTTAATTGTGGATGTAGCTTCTGATAATCTGGATAATAGAGAACAGAGACCCATATACAATAATTACATTTTTAGGAAAGCCCCATACAAATTATTTTTTAAAGGAGGTTCATGGTTGACCACTGAGGGATGCTAGGGGAAAAAAAAAACAATTGGCAAATACAAATTAAAAAGACATACATCTTTACTTTTTCATACCTTGTGGAAGTAATTCGATCTCCCCACAGCTCCGACTTTTCCACTGTAGTTAACAAATCCGACGTTGGCTTCGGTGGCTGCATAAAACTCAAAGATACGTATGTCTCCAAATCTTCTGATGACTTCCCTCCAAATATCAGGCCGTAAGCCATTGCCTATAGCAAGTCTTACCACGTGGTTCTGATCATTGTCTTTCTAGAAAGAAACAAAGCACAATTCCAGAAGAGGATAACGGACTCCTTGGGAGAGAACGAACAAATCAGAGGGCTTTCCGTCTCATAGTTACAAAAGCATCCCATCCTGATTTACCACAGGAAACGAACCTTTATTTAGGACAGTGGTTCTCAACCTTTTTAATGCCGCGACCCCAACCGGTCGTAAGTCGAGGACTAAACCGGTCGTAAGTCGAGGACTACCCAACCGGTCGTAAGTCGAGGACTTTCCCTGCCCGGGAGCGCCGTGCATGCGTGGTTCCGCCCCCTGCGCCGGCCGAGGCGTAGCTGGCAAGCGGCAGAGACGGAGCAGGCCGACCAC